CCCTCTCCATGATGCTTCAATCTTTTAGTAGGTTCTTACGTTATGGCAGTCAATTCATAGATGCCTCTTCCGGTCCAGGCGAAATGGTCAATGTAGGTCGGAACCTTACTCGACGATTCACGTGCGTCTGGCTCACCTGGCTGGTAGTCCCACATAAAAGGCAATTTTCAATACATTTCAGTATGCTTCGAGCGTGAACCCGATAGAGAGGACTTCTGGAGTAGTAAAGCACTGACGAACGCCCCCCCTTCCTTACCTTAAAGGCTTCGACGCTCTAGGTGCTACCGACTTAATTGGTTGTATTCATTACTGCGATGTAGCTTTCGGCCGGAAACAGCCGACTTACTTGTTGACTGTTTACTTGAAAAAGGCCTTCACGCAGTGGTTACAGCTTAGGGGGCATATCCGAGACTATTGAAGTTGGTACGGGTCCATCTTTGCTAACAGTTGGGGGACACAGGGATACCCCCTTCTCTATTCATTAGTTACATCCGCCCTCCTGTATGAGCGGCAACAGCAACTCCCTTATTCGCTACTTGTATGGTCCCTAAGCAACTACCTTCTTATGGCCTCGGAGAAAGCCAATATGGCATGTCTATTTGAAAACAATGGGATGATTAAGACGTGAACCAATACTCATTTATTGGGGTTCGGCATTCATGCAAATCAGGCAGCGCCCCTTATAAGGAAAGTGAAGGAATGCTTTCTAGGTATTTCAGTAGGCACATGTCAGGACCCAATTCCTGCCATTTTGATCGAGAAAAGTCATTTCATAAGGGACCAGTCAAAAGCGTGGTTGTTTGGTGTTCATTCATGAGCGGTTGATCGGTGAGGACATTCAATGTCCGCATCCAGCGCGTGTGCCTGGGAACGAAAGGGAACAATCAAGGCATGTCATCGATGGGGTGGTACTGATAAGGGACAGCGTACATAATGAACTCAGTCGGGAGTTACAGACGACCTAACTAAAGCAGCAGGAAACGAAACTGCATCTGTATAGAAGGAACTCAACTCTTCGGCTATTGGAGGTCCTAATAGGACTTTCAACACTTCCATCTTTGAGAATGGATGTTGGTCAGAAGGAGCCCACTTCTTCATTAATGGGTGGGTGGGGGACATCAGCAGCGACCTTCTCTTGTTAGTAGTTACAGGGGCTTACCCCTTAGATAAGGAGCTAACAGTAAAGGAAGACTTACTGGGTAGGGGGAATAGAAGCTACTAGGGGAGTTCCTACTAAGACGGAATACGAAAGAAGGAAACAAGCGAGCTACCTTACAAACAACCTTAGGGCACACTAAGGTTACACACGACACTCGCTCACCCACCTCGGCGAGCTTCACGGCTCACATTAAACAAAGAAAAAAAAGAAACTCACAAGACGAAGTACCGACATCGGATCAGCTACAAGCGGACGAAACTCCGACAAACCTAATACTAGGAGAGCCGCAAACAAACAAACAACAAAGGAAACAAAGAAGAGACGCCGCGCTCGATCGACCATTTCATTTAGGGCTGTCTGCACTTGCTAACTCACTACGCTCATTCCCTAGCCTTCCAATCATGGAAGACTTACCTCACTCCGAGCGTTCCCCTTGGTCACTCACTACGGCATTAGCTACACCGATTGACGCTGCCCTCACTCGCCGATCCCCGGCTCACTTCGCCCGAAACAAACAGAAAAAGAAACAAAGAAGCGATATGAAGGAACCTAAACAAAGAGTCTCCGGACACCGAAAACTTATATAGCGGACGAATCAGCGACAAAGTCTAAGACTAAAGATAAAGAGGAGCCGACTAAACGCAGGGTACGGAAACTCGCTTTGGACTTGTGGTTCTCAAAGAAAAGGTTGGCAGGAGATAAAAGCTAACAGCTAAAAGCTACAACTCCGGGAAAATCGCTTACAACAGCGAGCACATTCCATGTTAAGAGCTGTGGAAGGCAGGAGTGCTTGCTTAGATTCAGGAAGATCTTCAGCAGCGATCACAGGGGTTGGTAAGGTTGAAGTGGAGCAATCCCTAATGATAGGGTCTAAACTACCGATTGGCTGCTGCCATTACAGGGGAGGAGAGGGAAGCGAACCCTTTAGATGACGGGGGAAAAAGAAGTTCTCATTTCAAGTGAAAAAGGCGAAAGGGAAGTTCTCATTGCGGGGAGGAAAAGGCAAGCTGGAAAGCAGGTAAGGCCAACCTAGCAGGAGATCTATTTACGGATCAGATTGGTTCCCCGCAGAAGCCTTAGACGATAGGGCAAAAAGACCCTCGCTTCGGCAGCTGCCAGGGGGGAGAACATGGAACCCCGATCCGGCACCCGGCCGACCCGGATACCTTCTGCTCCCTCTCGTCGTCCAAGAACAATAGAAAGAGAGTGGCTAGCGCTCCTTCCGCTGAGACCTGTTGGCCGTCAACTGCTTCAACTGCAGATGCGGCTGAGCTAGATGTGCCATCAATAGCGAAGGAAGTGGCTGACGAAGCTCCTCTTCATAGACACATGTGGAATCCGTCCCTTTCAGCCCCTGAACCTAATGAATCTGTTTGGTACGCTGAGGCTTCTCCTTCCCCTGAAATCGGCCGTAAACAGACACTGCTTGAAGACAAGAAAGGTTGGGACAAAGACCTCTCTTTCAAATCTCGTAGGAAGTGGAAAGGAAGTAGCTTGTGCTTGGCGTGCTCGCGAGCTCCGAAGCTGATGAAAGATTGAATTAACCTCGGGAACTCGTGAAAGCAGTTTCACTAATGGCCGAAGTCCTTCTTCGCGCACAGCCAGACCTTCTGCTCGATTCTTTCTTGCCTCAGCTGGGAAGAAGGCTGGAATCTCTCTCTCCCAGAATGTGATCTCTTTCTCTTCACTCCCCCTCCCCTTTTCATGTAAGGAGCCAAACAAAAAAGTTGACTTGCGGGCCAGCGATCTCACGAAGCTCCTCTCTAGTTAAAAAAGAAAGAATAGGACTACCCCTGCTACGAACATTCACATTCCCCAGCTTGAATCTACCCATAATAATCATAAACACGCGAAATCCCATCACATCAAACCTAAGAAGAAGAAAACCTTGACGACTTCTTTTTGGCCTCCTTTTACATTTACAATGGGATTCAGACAAGGAGGGACATGCAGACTGATTCTCTTTTCTTACGTGAATGAGATACTACTGAAATGCAGATAGCTTTAACTCCTTCTTCCTTCTAGTAGGACTTAATACCGCCAATTAGTGCTTCAATCGGGCTTTTGGCTTTCTCCTTTTATACCGCTCCTGCCTTCCCTTTTGGATACGAGTTTCAATTGGGAGAACTTGAACTAGCTAGGACGCCCTTGTTTGGGGCTTTAATTAAATGGATTAGCCTACCAGGCCTAAAAGTTTAGAAAAGTCCTCTCTTTCTATTCATAGAGAATCAATCCTCGGAATCGACGCACCTTCTAATTCTAATACTGTTTCCTTTAGGAGCGGAAATGACGACATCTACTATTCCATCAAAGAGCCTAGTCGTCCTAAGCCCTTCTAGTTCATCTGCATCAGCTAATATCGAACGCCTGTTGTGCCCCGAGAATGGTCTGTTTCGGGCTATCCTTCGTATCTTAAGGCAGTTCAGTTACTTGCATCAACAGGAAAGTATTCATTCCCTACTTTCGCTCCTAGGCTTTCGGGAAAGCAAAGAGACTGCTACTGTTCTAGCTGTTGTCGGAACTGTTCAAGAATCCACTGTGGCACTTTCGGAAGGGGGAATCAGACTAGGCTGTCACTGTTCTAGAAGAGGAAGCGTAACTGGCACGAATTGAATCGATAGCAGGGTAAGGAAAAACCTTTTTAAACCAACCGTTACTGCATTCATTAAGAGTGAAAGCTGAAAGTCTCTTTCTATTATGGAAAGCCTGCCGAAGACTTCTAGGTAAGGAAAGGGAGGAAAGTGAGTAACTAGGGCTTACTCTGTCAACACAAGCCGTGTAGGTAGCCTCCTCCTCCGGTCTAAGAAAAAGAGAGCTAACACGTACTACCAATAAGATAATTCGACTTTCGCTAGGCGCTGAAAGCCCTCCTCTACCAGCTGCAGACTCTGTCTTAGTGCTTCCCTTGGTTCGGCACGGTTTCACTCAGTATGGTACGCTACGGTCAGGTTCGCTCGGTGTAGGTATCACCTTGATGCGCGTAGCTATTGCCTTAATCCTGGTCTGCTCGGGTCATTCCATTGATACGCTCATCGGGCTCGTCGTTAGGAAGAGGTAGGTGGGCTGACAAGGAGAGGAATCATTCCCATCGGTGAAATGAATCTCTTCTCCCAGATCTTCTTTGTAACTTGGTATATGAATGAATGTTGTCAGTCTCAGTTGGAGGAATAGTGTGACTTGGCTGCTTCCTTCGATAACTTGCTTATTCCTTTTTTTTAGACTATATCCATAGCCTCACACTCGCCAGCTGAGTCCGTTGGCTAGTTTTGATCACCCCGAATTCGATTTCTCATGCGAGACGGAGGTAGACGATATAAAGGTCAATCGCAGGTTAACTACTTTTTTGGGGCCGAGATAGAAAAACTCGCTTCGTAACCTTCGCACTCGTTTACCGGTTGCTCTTCTTATTCATGATTATGCCGCTCGCAGGCAATCCTGGTTAAACTGACTGGCTTGGGGGTTCGAAGAAGATTAGTTCAATAGCCAAAGCGGACCAGAGAAGGTTAGTTTAGTGACCCAGACCAAAGAAAAGCTGACCGGGGCAGGAAACTGCCTCGCGTCTTGTCGCGTGGATGGTGTCTTAAATCAGACATGGATTTCCATCGTTGCCTGTTTGACAAGTTACTCTCTCTAAAAGCCGTGAAGTGGCACAAGATTTTCCAAAATCTTGCACTGCTAGTAAGCCTATTTAATAGAGTCTTGCTAGTAATCGCTGACGGTCTAACGAAACATGTGTTGGAGCTTACCTTACCTTGTGGCTAAGCGGGTGATACGATTAAATCGTAAGTCTGGGCCACTCTTCACTGCGCTTTATTTAAAGCAGTGTGCAGGGTCACTCCAGCAAGCTTACGCTG